GAGGGTGTTGATAAGACCAATGCGAGGTCGAAACTGCAGTCCACCCAGGATGAGAACAACTTTTGTGAAAATAAGGCTATGTGAAATTCAATGGAAAAGTCAGCTAAGCTCATATCATTGTGGGAAAATTCTACTACCAGTCCTTCATCACCTTACGCGAAATAGGGTGAATACATCTCATTACAAAGATTTTTTTATTTGAACACGTTTTATGCACTTCCATGGATTGAGCTTAAATTAATTCCCTGAGCTGGTTGCTTACTCGGTGAAAATTAAAGTTAACCCAAATAAACTTCCAAGATCACATCTACAAGATGTGTGGCCAAGCTTACACATCTTACAATATAGTGTCTCTTTTATCCAATTTACTGCGCCTAGGCAATCATCGCCTTTAAATGGTTATGCGTTCATAGCCGTTATACTTTCTCTCTTGGCTCTGGATCTTCTGTCATCGACTTCCCCACAGCCAGTAAGCCCTGTGGACAACCTTCAAGTTCGGAACCTCAGCGCTATTCACTTCACTCACTGCGCAGCCTACTTGCCAGTGGAGAGTTGCTTGCCCGCCGACTGGCCGAAGTTATTACAGAACCGGCGACCTGTGCCTCAGTCCAAGGGATGGGGTCTGAACAAACCTCTCCTTGTGGCAGGCCATCGGGGATCGGGCGCCAAAGCTGGCCAACCTCACGACATTTAATTGCTTCTGCAGATTTGAATTTTCAGCCAGGAGATTCCTCAGGTTCTATATATTTATCTTCTTCCCCTTCGGCCGCACCAACTCCATTCCAGCTAACTTCTCTGGGTGGGAATGAGATAGTTGGCTCGGCAAGTGGCATGCTTCGGCTTTTACGAGCCCGCATTCTTACAGCCGTAGGGCAGCAATCTCAGGCTCTAGTTGAAGCTGAAGCAATTGTTGGCTTGGTTCTCGAAGCCCTGAATCCGGAGTAAGAATTTTTATAACTCCTTGATCCCTATCGTCTCGATCAAAATAATTATTTTTGGATAAACACAAGTACTTATAAGGATGCCGACTTAATCAGTTCATTGAAACATCTAGAAAGAAATTAAAAGGAATAAGTCTTCAGGAAATCTTATCTAAAGGCTGCTATAAACCACTACTACCTGTTATTTTTCCGCAAAACGCAGTTTTACTCAGTACATTTGTTACCTGCTTCCGTTACAGGAGGAAGGAAGGTCATTTTTTAAGGATCCCTAATAAATTCTATTTTATTTCTTAATAGACTCTTCCTCGATGGAGGTAATGGTCTCTGCTAAGTTCATCTACAATTTACAAACGAATACTGCTTTTAGTATGATTCGCAAGCTAAAATACGCCCCCTTTCCTTTGACATGACCTGAGTTATTATTAGTTCCGCAGATATATTTATTTTGAGTTCAATGGCAAGCGTTTGGTCTGACAGCGACACGGAGTTATGCGATTCGCGAAACTTGTTTGGAAATTTGTGCTTTCCGTTTCATACAAAAGAGTTATAATCATGGATCTCAAAGGGTAACAATGTGTTTGCTTCTTGAACCCCACTGATAAGACCCAAATCACGCAAGGTGCACTGTTATAATATAAGTGAGGCTGAATATACTGTACTTTCCTGATTAGAAAATTAAAATTAAATAAAAATTCCAAGCCTTTCTCCACTCTTAAAGCATAGTTCCTACCTTCCGAAACAATGCACCTCGACGGCAAGCAAGATCTTGATAGCTGTGAAAAATATTGTCACTATTTGGTGCCATCATCTTGAGCCATTGGCATGATGGGAAATTATTAGAGGTTGAGATTCGGAGCCAGTCTGCAAAATTCTTAGATTAGAAGCCTTTTTTAAAATGTCTTAGCTGTCCATTTAACACACATAAACTTCCCTTTTCAGATTCTATACGAAAAGCTTATAAACTATAATATCTATTATTAATAATAATAACAGTTACTAGATGAATCGATGTTTTTTCAGAATTTTCATCTATCTTTTCTGCCA